CGGGAGCTTGTGACTCCCCCCGGATTCAAAAAGACAGCCGCGTCCTCAGGTGCCAGCCACTTTCTGCGCGCGCGGGCCCCGTACCTCTGCACTTTATTTCCGCAGCTCCTCTGGCTCTCAGTGTGCTTTTCTTTCCTTCTAGTTGTAGAATTTACACTCAGCCAGCCTTCCTGTAGTTCTGGATGATGTCCATTTTGTGTTTTTGATGTATTTTTCAATTGTTGTGGGAGGTAGCAATTTCCCGGTGTTTATCTATGCCGCCATCTTAGTTTCTCTACCTCTGTAAATCTTACAGTACACTGTATACAGATCCCTGATAATCATGGGTTTATAATCCAAAAACTTTAGCCACTCACGAGCAAGATTCTCTCCTCCACCCAAAATTTGGGACATTGAGATATTTGCAATCATATATCAGAATATGAAACATGCGTGCCACAAGATTCGTATGCAAGAGGAAATCTGCTAGTGAGGTCCCAATTGAGCATTCAAAAGTCACTGCTTAACGAAACTTGTTTCTTTTTCCATGTTGTATCAGTGTTTCTCACTGTGACCCACAATATTTACTGTTTACATCACCACCTAGTATACACTAGCACATTAAACAAATGTAAAAAATACTTATCCTGTATGAGAAGCACTTTACTATTATTATACTAGAGGCCCAGTGCACGAATTCGTGGCACAGGTGGGGTCTGGCTAGCCCTGCCCGAATCCGGGCAGATCGGGGCTGGGCCTATCGGGAGAAGGAGATGGTAGGAAGTTGGCTGGCTGGCCCATCCAGATCGGGCCTGATCAGGGTAGGGCCAGCTGGGGGGAGGGGCAGTGGGCAATTGGCCAGTGGGCCGCTCTCCCGAATGGGGTGAGGGGTGCTGATTGGGGCCAGCGGCCTGGGGGAGAGGCCATGGGTGGTTGGCCAGCTATCCCTGCCCCTGATTGGGGTGGGGGGGCTGATCTGGGGTGGGGCCAGGAAAGGGGAGGGACTGCAGGAGATTGGCTGGCCATCCCCGCCCCCTAATGTGGTGGTATTTAGGAATCTAGGGATTGCTAAGGGTCCATACTGTCTGGTATCTGTTTGATTTTTATTTATTTCACAGTGTCTGGCTCAAGTAAAGTGCTCAGTAAACATTTCATATGGACTAAGAAGGCTTTATTTCAAGAATAATCAGGGAGATGAGAATTACAGTAACAAGGAGAACTTGTCATCCATCTTACTGAAAACATAGTAATACCTAATGTAGATAGAAAAAGGGGCACACTCATTATTCAATGATGGAATGTGAATTGCTACAGCCTTTTTGAAAAGCTATGTAAGAATATCTATTAAAATTTAAAATGTAGCCCGGCTAGTGTGATTCAGGGTTGAGCATTGACCTATGAACTGTGGGCTCAATACCCAGGATGGGGTGTGCAGGAGGCAGCCAATCAATGATTCTCTCTCATTACTGATATTTCTATCTTTATCTCTCTTCCTCTTTGAAATCAATAAAAACATATATTGCAGAAAATTTAAGATGTATACATCCTTTGTAGCAATAACCTCAAAACTCGAAATCTCTCCCACAAAAATAAAAGCATCAGTCAGTACCTAAGAACTGTACCAGGATGTTCACTGAATACTTTGTTAGTGGAAGAAAATGGAAACAAAGCAAATGCCCATCAATTGTTAAATTAACACCAACACACTCACACCAAGAATATCAGACAGCAGTTAGATTCATAATGACTTGGAGGGATTTCTACTATATATGTAAGTTTAGAGAAGCAAAAATACAATGAGATCCATTTTTTAAAAAGTATACATATGCATGTATGTTTGTGTATGACTAAAAGGACACAGAGAAAGCCATAGAAGACACCTAGGTTCAGGAGTCCCAGGCAAGGAAAGTTAGCAACTCCCCCACATGGCACACACATAAAGTGTTAACGAATAAAAATATTCTAATATTCTGTATGCTATAGTCCTTTTTAGATACTTGTGTTTATAACAGGAAAGACATACTCAAAAGAGATGCAAGAAAAAATAACTCCCAGAATATTTTCCAATAAGAAAAATAAAGAAAGGTTGGTGGATAAATGAAAGGATAGATGGGTTGATTTAGGTTAAAGAAATTTAAAAAGATAGAAAAATGATAGTCTTTTTCAACATAGTTTTTAGGTCATAGTACTTCACAGCATTTGGTAAGTTAAGCACCCTCCTTCCGGAAACACTTTCCGTTTTCCACGCCGCCTCACTGCCTTTTCTTCGGTCCGCGCTCATCCATTGGGGTTCTTCTGCGCTGTCTGCCTGCCTTCGGGGCCCTGTACTGCTGGCTCCCTGTCAGCACCCCTGCTCGGCGACCTACCGTGGCCCCGGCCTCACTCACCCACAGGGCGAATCAGGGCCCGTGGGCCAGTTCCCTCTTGAATAGACGTCCCCACCTGGCCCTCCGGTCACGGAGAGCCCAGGTCCACTCACCGCCCCGGCCGGCCTCCTCCCTCGGGGCAGGGCGCGCAGAGGCCTGGACCGCCCCCACCCACGCAGGGACCCAGCGGGCGGGCGGGGGCGCTCCAGGTAACTCCCCTCACACCCCGCGAAACCAGAAACCACCTCGAGAGGCCGCGGGACCAGTGCCCGCGTCCCTAGCCTCACGACTCTGCGGCCAAGCACCGGGGACCCGC